CTTGCCTGAGGAGATATATCTGAAAAGAAATTCTTCTTAATAATATCAGAGAGTTTACTGCCTATGTTTTCTTCCAGAAGTTTTATGGTTTCGGGTCTTACATTTAAGTCTTCAGTCCATTTTGAGTCTATTCTTGTATATAGTGTAAGAAGGTGGTCCAGCTTTTTTTTTTTTTTTTGGCATGTTATCTGTCCAATTTTCCCAACACTATTTATTAAAGAGACTGTCTTTACCCCATTGTATATTCTTACCTCCTTTCTCATATATTAAGTGAGCGTATAGGTGTGGATTCATTTCTGGGCTCTCTATTCTGTTCCATTGATCAATGTATCTGTTTTCATGCCAGTACCATGCTGTTTTGATTACTGTAGCTTTGTAGTATAGTTTGATATCAGGTAGTGTAATATCTCCAACTTTGTTCTTCTTTCTTAAGATTGCCATGGCTATTCAGAGTTTTTATTTTATTTATTTATTTATTTATTTACTTTTGGCTCCATATAAATTTTAGAATTATTTGTTCTAGCTCTCTGAAAAATGCCATTGGTTATTTTGATAGGGATTGCATTGAATCTACAGATTGCTAACATCGCCATTTTAACAATGTTTATTCTTCCTACCCATGAACACAGTATATGCTTCCATTTATTTATATCTTCTTTAATTTCTTTTTTCAATGACATAATTTTCTGAAAACTGGTCTTTTACTTTCTTGGTGAATTTGATTCCCAGGTATTTTATAGTTTTCGACGCAATTGTAAATGGGATTGTTTTCTTAATTTCGCTTTCTGAAAGTTCATCATTGGTGTATAAAAATGCCACTGACTTCTGAATATTTGTTTTGTAATCTGCTAATTTACTGAATTCATTGATCGGTCCTCACAGCTTTTTGGTGGAATCTTTAGGGTTCTCTGCATATAGTATCATGTCATCAGCAAATAACGAGAGTTTTACTTCTTCCTTTCCAATTCAAATTGGAAAGAGTATAAAGTCATACTTGACAATGTCTTGAGTAATTTTTTTTAAATTTCAGAGGACTCATATTAGCCTCAAATCTTCTACACTAAACAGAAGACAGTACACTAAACAAGTAGAACACTAAATGGCTACATCTAGAATTCATTAAACCACAAATAATTTAACATCCAAGCAAGCTCTCACACCCATGAGAGGAACAGAAAGACACAGTAGATTTATACAGATCAATACATATCACCCACAGATCCTTGCTCTAAAATTCTACAAAACAGACAAAAAAAATCCAATGAGACAGATATGATGTAAGAGAAATGTCAATGAGAAATAAAACCAATAAAAATAAATGTCAAAAATGTTGAAAGTTTAATTATAAAACAAGCAAATGCTAAATAACTTTATCAGTTAGAGTGCTGTTGATTAAAAGTGACAGAAAACTTTGACTTAGTTGGCTTAAACAATAGAAAAAATATTTTTAAGAACAAGCCCTAAGTCATGATGGTTCCAAGAATAGTTAAAACAGTGACTTGATATTTAAACTCGCACACACACACACACACACAGATTCTTTTCATCTTTCTATCAAGCTCTTTAAAGTACGTCAACTGTGTTGCTTTTAACCACTCTCATTATATCAAGGTGTTTGCCACAGTTTCACCCATTACTACCAGATATAACTATATACAGTGGGAAAGGGGTCATTTTCTTTACATTTATTGATTTTTATTAATGAGAAAAAACTTTCATTGGTCAGAATCTTATCACGTGTTCATACTTAAACCAGTGCTGGCTTAGAATGGGTCATCACATTTGGATTAGAATAGACAAGGACTTCTCAATCTCAGCACTATTGACATTTGGGCTGGATAGTTTTTTATTGTGAGATCTGTCCTATGCATTGTAGGATATTTAAAATCTTTCCCAGCCCTCTATGCACTAGACACCTATAGCAACTTCTTCCACTGTGACAATCAATAATGTCTCTAGACATTGCCAAATGTCCCTGGTTGAAAACCACTGAAATAAACTAATAAAGATATCCCTCTGGGGCTAGCTATGGGGCCCACCTCCCCTAAATATACAAGGGTAAAGAAAAAAGAGACTACCTGAAGAAAATCAGTATCTTTCAGAAAAGAGGCTTATATGAAAGAAAAATAGTCTAAGTAAGCAACCAACAGAGTTTAGTACAGTAATTTTTTAAAAGGAGTATACAGCAAATGTGAAATTAAATGTGAAATTAAAATGTGAAATTAAAACCCTGCATTATCTGAAACAAAACAAACGGAAAATGAATGAAGAGATTTCACAGGGCTGAGGACTTGTTCACTCATCAAGCACACAAAATATAAGTCTGTACTTAGAAAATTACAATATGCAATTTAGTTGACTTGGAGAATATGTCTTTAAGCATTAATTTTCATTGCGGATTTGTATGTACAATATTTAGTCCCTAAGAACCCTGACCTATTGC